GAAGTGAGAGCCATGACAAGAACAGACATATGCACACCCATGTTCATTGCAGCACTATTTACAATAGCAAAAAGATGAAAACAATCTAGGAGTCCATCAACTGAGAAATGGTTAACCAAACTATGGTACATACACACAATGGACTACTATGCAACCCTAAAGAATAATGTAGAATCTGCAAAACACTGCATAATGTCAATGAACTTGGAGGACATTATGCTGAGTTAAATAAGTCAATCACAGAAGGACAAATATTGTATTAGTCTGTTATTGTAAGAGTCAAAGAAAGCTTTCTATATGGGAGGAAATTTCCTTTGTTGCTTACCAGGGGTGGGAGGGGAGGGGAGGGAACACTGTTAGATAGCTCAAGACAAGTATTGATTTGGCTGAAGAGTAGGGCAACATACCAAATGTGAATGATCAACATGGTGGCACTGATGGCAAGTGAATTTGCTCTATAAAATTTCACCCAAATCACACACACAAAAAAAATCCATAAACAAAATGAGTTCAGTACAGAAAATTGAACTAAGCAAAAAAATTAGCAGCACCACAAAAAATACATAACAAAATGACAGCAATAAATTCACACTTGGATATAACTATACTGAATGTAAATGGATTAAATGCACCAGCCAAGAAGACAGAGAGTTGCATGATTAATCAATATACTGTCTACAAGAGACACACCTTAGATACAAAGACAAAAATAGACTAAAAATCAAAGGTTGGAAAAACTCTATCAAGCAAGTGACAATCAAAAAAGAGAAGGAGTGACAACATTAATTTCTCAAAAATACACTTTAAGGCAAAAACCAGCATGAGAAATGAGGAAGGACATTGTACAATGATTAAAGGGTCAATAGAACAAGAGCACATAACCACAATAATTATCTACCCACCCAATGAGAGAGATACAAAATACATAAATCAAACTTTAACAGAATTGAAAAGAAAAAATAGATAACTCTACAATAATAGTGGAAGACTTTAAAGCACCATTTGTAGTGAAGAAAAGAACAACTAGAATGAAACTTAACAAAGACACAGAACTAAACAAAACAAACAACTTGATCTTATAGACATACACAGAACACTCCACCCAAAAAAAGCACAATATATATTCTTTTCTAGTGCACATGGAACATTCTCCAGAATAGACCATATGTTAAGTCACAAAAAAAAAACCTCAATAAATTTAGAAACATCAAAATACTACAAAGCATCTTCTCAGATCACAATGCTATAAAATTAGATATCAGTGACAGGACGATCAAGGGAAAAAGTGCAAACACATGGAAACTAAATAACACCCTGCTTAAAACTACTGAGTAGCAGAAGAAAAAAAATGAAACTAAAAAATTCCTTGAATCAAATAAAATGAAAACATAACAAAACAAAATCTTTGGGACACAGTAAAAGCAGTGCTCAGAAGGAATTTATAACAGTAGATGCACACACCAAAAAACAAGAGTCAAAGTCAATGCCTTAACCCACCATCTCCAAGAACTAGAAAAAGAACAACAAATAAGCCTATAGTTGCCAGAAGAAAAGAAATAATAAAGATTCAAGCAGAAATAAATGAAACAGAAAAATAATAGAATCAACAAGACTTGAAGCTGGTTCTTTGAAAATATTAATAAAATAGACAAACCACTGGCAAATCTAACAAAG